GGGGGGTTTCAAGGCTGGGGCAGGGGATTGGGGCACAGGATTGGGGCATGGGTTTACCTCCCATGGCTTCTCATCAGCAGGGGGGGGGGGGTTTCAAGGCTGGGGCAGGGGATTGGGGCACAGGATTGGGGCATGGGTTTACCTCCCATGGCTTCTCATCAGCAGGGCTTCAAAGGCAGGCTTCCTGCCTGTTTTGGCACCATAGACTGCATTGTGCGCCAGACATGGCCAGCAACAGGTCCAGCTCCTAACAAAGTTGTGCAAGCAGCTACATACCACTGTTGCCTGCAGGCATTGACCCTCCCCAGCTTTCCATTGGCTGGTTAATGGGAGTTCTCAGGACAGGGGCAGTGGGGGAAACCCCTGTGGCCTTACTGGCTAGGAGCCAGACCTGCTGCTGGCCACTTCCAGGGTGCTGCATGGTGTCAGAACAGGTAGGCATTGGTCAAGGGTTTTCAAAGTGTGGGCTGTGACCCAGCCAGGGATCCTGGGTGCTGTGCCTCACATTCTGTGACCCAGTATTGGGTCATGACCTGAACTTTGACAACCACTAAGCTAATAGGCCTTTTTGTCTCCAACTATTTTGTCATTCACAAAACATTACACGAATCACCTCCGAAATAACCTCATTGAAAGCAAACAAATAATTGAACAAAAGCAAAAATAGATTTGTGGAACTCATATGATATTTGTCTCCACTGCATTAATCATGTACTTGTGTGTTGTCACTATCCCATTCCTTCTACCCTCTGTCTGTTTTGTCTATTTAGATTGCAAGCTCTTTGGGACTGGACTGTCTCTCATATGTTTGCATAGTGCCTTGTACAATGGGTCCCAATTTTCAACTCGCCCTGTGCACTATCATGGTAAATATAACAACACTATCAAAACAATGGGAGGTTGCCAACAAAAAGAAACGCAGAGCAAACAGGAAATTGTGTGTAGCACTGCCAGCACTGTTTCTATAAAAACCCATTACAGACTATTTTACATAAACTTTATTGTACTATACAATTGCATACAATCAATGCAAAGGCAATTTCATAGGCATGTAATGTGATTAGCTTGATCTTTATTTTTTCCATATACTGAGATAATTATTGTGATCTATGTTATGCTCTAATATGTAACAAATATTATCAAGGTCTTTGGGGAATTGTGTTCCTATTGGAATTGATTAACGTGTTGGCAAAATTCCTTACTAACTTCTGAAATTAGGAGGAAACACACTGGGCTTCTGTGGAAATTCACCATTGTTCCTGTGGCAGTTCAGAAGATGGAGAATATATGACAATGTTCTCCTCAGACAAAATTAACAACTGGCATCAGAACATCTTCATTCACTAGAAGATTTCTTATGTTGTTTTTATTTTTGTTCTGCTTTCAGCACATCCGGTCCTTGTAGGAACAGCAATAGAGAGATTTCCAGTGCATAGCTTTTACATATCTGAAGAGAAACTGGATTTGCAAGATAAAAATCCTGAGGTAGCTGTGAATGCTTCAATAAAAAAACATAATGATCCCTGATAGTGAAATATTAGTAGTCTAGCAGTAGAAAAACTATTGTTTAAGGAGGTAACACAGATATTGTGCCTGATTCACTACAGGCAGTCCCCGAGTTACGCGGATCCGACTTATGTCGGATCCGTACTTACGAATGGGGCTTTTCTCGCCCCGGAGGACGCGGGTGGTGGGACTGCCCAGACACGCCGCGGTCCCGCCGCCCACGTCCTCCAGGGTGAGAAAAGCTGCTCCGTGTCTCCCTGGTCTGCTGGGGAGGGGGGGGGCCAGCAGACCAGGGAGACGCGGAGCAAAGCCGCGGAGGACGCGGGCAGTGGACAACCCAGACGCGCCGCGGCTGTTCCGCTGCCGGCGTCCTCAGAGGCTTTGCTCCCGGTGTCCCTGGTCTGCTGGGGACCGTCTCCAGCAGACCAGGGCCACCGGGGGCAATGCCGGG